ATTTTGCCTCAAAGTTAATAGGATTCATCATTTTATCCATAGAAATTAGTTTATTTCTGGTTTATTATTGATTCTTATCATCCTGATCTGTTTCATAATCTGCTTTTTTCTGCTGCCCCATCTTCTGCTGTGTCATTTGATAGGCTATAAACAGATCTTTGGAAAAATTTCTGTTCTCTCCTTGAACTCCTTCTTCCACAACAGGATTTCAATCCTGTAGAGTAGTTTGCAGGCACCACAATAAGATAAATAGAAAATAATGGTAATCATAATGCAAGCCATCACAATTTCAAGACAGCCAGCGCTTTATCATGCAATGCCAGGATCATAAATCTTTCCTTGATTCTTTGCAAGATCCCATGGTGTGTACAGCTGAGAGGGGAAAAAATATCTCAGTCCTGATTAAGACCTGAAGTGTGTTCACACAATAAATCCAGACTATCTGGTAAAATGCTGAAGAAGTCTCACAGCCTCACTTAGAATAGCTGGAGTTACATGGTATGGTTACAGCCTCAATCTGGTACAGTAATGCCACACTGCAGTTACGAGATACTTGATGCCCCTTGCTGTTTGAAAGAGCAAGTCCATATAATCTCAACACTGCCCTATAACCAGTACATTTCTTTGCAGCAAATTCTTTCCATATCCCAAATGCTGTGTTTATTTAAATCATTACAAGTGTACACACTAAAAAGTGGCTGATGAGAGCCTTCATAGATTCTGTACACTTTAAAGTGGTATGACCTAGATTGACATGAAGTGGTCTATAAAGTTCCTATTCTATATATAATAATAATAATGTAAAACTTTACAGCTAAGGTCCTGAAAAGTTAGTGTGCGTCTACTTATGCAATTAATTTCCAAACCAGCAAGCTCAGGAAAATAATCACTGTAGCTTGTTTCCTGTTGAAGATATCTCTGGGTTTATAGAATAAAAGTTAGCCACACAGTTAATTCATTGTCTAGTTTTCCCCCATCGACTTTTTTTTTCTATTCTACCAATGGGGAAAAAGAAGTTAGATAAGGACAGTAAAAGACTGCTGTGTTGCTCTTTGTGTCAGCTATGCAATGGAAAGGACAAAGTACCAAAAAATTGAACAAAGGTCTGACAATTAATTGAATTGTACTTAACCAGGCCAACAGTGCTACAGTGGCAGTAACCCCAGCCTAACCGATATCCCTAAGAATTCATGAGATATCTCTAGAATAATTTCAAGAAAATACTATTCCCAAGATCTCATTTTCAAATAGGGATAAAAAAATAAGTGTGTGGAAAAAAGGGGTAAATAGGTAGAAGAGGGGAAAACTGCTGTATTTTCTTCAATGTCACCCTAATCTCCATTGGTGTAAACAATGAGAAACTTGTGGGTATGACATCACTGCTACATGCAACATAAATAAAAAAAAGAACCAAAATACTGAACAAAAATACTCTCTGCTAGAGAAAGACAGGTTGGACCGCACTCTGGGCTACAGGGAACCCATTTTTACTCACAATAGATCACTATCAGTGTGCAGTTAAAATATAGTAGGGGCCGTGTTCCAAGGCAGCAAGAGGAAAAATAAATCAAAAGTTTGTCAATTGTCATAGATTACAAGAAATTCCTTCAAACACATCAATGTACACATGATATGTCCCCTCTGGGGTTCAACCCCCACCGTTCACAGCAAGCACTGTCACTGGAAAAAATATATAGAGAATTAGACCATAGCTGTTGCACAAAATGAAAGAAACAGGAGGAATAGGTCATCCAGCTTAGAGATTTCATCCCAACGTGGCTTATGTTATATAAATATAGACATATATTTGGCCTCTTGCTGCAAAAACTACAGTTAAATGAAATAGAAAGAGATTGAAAACATTGAAAAAAAATTAACAATCTGTGAATAAAATTTCCACACAAGTATTTCTTTGGACAATGTGACATCAGCATTCATATGTTATTCAGGGAGTGGATGGGTAAGGAGAAAAGGATGGCAAGAAAACTGCAAAAGGAAAGCGAGATTACATTAATTATCCCTAGCCTTGTAGAAATGTACTGATCTGCCCTGAATTATTAACATTAGGCCTAACAAGTTTGGACAAATGGCTATGTAGGTCAGACTCACGTTTAGACCCCAACAATATCACAAGCTAATGTTCAGAAAGTATCTAAATTGAAGTGCAACCTCAGATGCATTATTAAAGAATGTGGGTTTTAAGTGTCATGGGAAGCTGCATTAATTAATGCCACCATAATTAAGTTTTTCATGTAAAGATATTCTTTCACAGTTAATGCACCTGAATGTGTCAATATTTTTGCATACAACCTTTCATTTAATCTTACACATTTTCTGCATTCAGCTGCCTCTAATTACTATGTTACTCCCTAATTAAAATACATATTTAACATATAGGACTACACAGATGCATTTGTGACTGTATGAAGTGTCTTTGAAAACCAAATTGACATACTAGCTGTTGACAGATCAGTTAACAGTTTTCTAACTCAATAGGGAAAGAGTTTTCTCAATTTATCCTTTGTTTTGGTTAGACTGCATTTTTAAGAACAATGATTTGTGCGGCTTAAAGAGGGATAACATAGTTAAGGTTTTTCAAAAGTGATTAGTGATTTGAAAGCTAAAATATTTTATGTGAATAACAGGTTCCACTAAAGACTTACCTTAAAAAAAACCCCAAAAGAAACCCCAAAAAAACAGGTCCCATAAAAGGGATCTCAAGATCGTCAATAAAATTTGAGAACCAAAAATCACTAATTACTGTTGAAATTTTTCATTTAAATTTTCTGCTTACTGACAGTACTTTAAAAGTGAAGCAACTGTATTATTTCTAATACTTGTGATCATGGCCGTAAGAGAAAGTTGTTCTCAGGTGTACTAAGGGCTGTCTGCTATCACAGTACCTGTGACCCTATCTGTGTCTAGGAAATGGGAGGAGAGAGGGCAGATTGAGGGAGAGGGAAGACAATGAAAGGGAAATTTAAGATTTTACTCTCATTGACCATGTTTTTTCTCCTTTTTTATCTGACTCAGAGGATTCCCTCCTTAACATTCAGTGCTTACTGTGCCAGTTCTGACAGCTGCCTCCTTCTTCTGCCTCACTAACTCCATCATTTTGTTTATTCATCTGTCCAACACCCTTTCATTTATTGGACTGATGTGTGACCATGCCATTTGTAACATTTCCTATTGCTACTCACAGAAGTTGTTACTTTTGCCTCTCCATGGCCTTACTGCTGGTAATATATCCATTGTGTTGGCTGAGTTTCAGGATACTCTGTCTCCTTCCAGGTTTCCTAGTACTGAGGAGGTTACCTTGATTCTCATTAATATACAAAAAAGGGCTCTTGCCCTTTATAGTGTTAATTCATGATTCCTATCTTCTAAGAAATGACAATGAAAATTGTAGACCTCACATTAAACTGACAGATTTTGGGGATTTTTTTTTTTTTTAGCAGAACATGTTTAAAAAGCATACATTATGTGAAGGAAGAGTAGAGAAGAAAATACAAATATAATAGGTCTTTTTTTTTCCCTGACAGAACCAGATCAAATTAAACAGGTAACATATTTCTCTTTAACTGTTGAGTAATTTGGAAAAAAGATTTTGTTTGAGAGCTACAGGCACCCTGAGGCATCTGTAACTGGCTTTACCAGAACTTACTCAGCAGACTCATTGGCTTTGGCAGCAGTTCAAAGGTCACATTCTCACATGGATAAACTGTTCTTGAACAATTTTTTTCCAATATGTTAGGCAATGCATACATTCCTTCCACATCAGGCATGCTTTCCATGTGCTTTGCTCTCCTTGTGGCTACTAGGAAGATAAATATCATTTTCTGTCAGTGTTTCAGCTGCTTTCTCTCAGTTATACTGTTGTTCCACACTCCTGGTTTTTTTGGGGACAGGAGTTTTTTTAAAAAAACTCCAGTGACATATTTTTTCTTTTCAGAATCATCTTCAAGAATTCATCCACTTCAGGCACTCCGTAAAGGCAGAGAATGTCCAGTTTAGGCTTCTTCTGTCCTCCAAAATCGCACAGTGATAACACTGACTCAAACTATAAATAAATTTTTCCCTTTTGAAAATAGTGGCAAAACAGACATGATCAAACTCTTCTGATTTCTTTCCATTTACCTAATCAGTACTTTTGAACTGAGTGATCTTTTTCATGGCAGAATACCATAGAATGCACATAAATATTCATATATCCATTCAGGAATGAATCCCTAAATTATTTTTCTATCAGTATTACAAATATGCATGGGTCAAACACATCTTTGTCCAAAATGTGGTTGTGATAGTCCCTGGAAAATAATTTCGAAGTATAGATAGGTAAAATGCTAATTGCTACATATTTATAAAAATTCAGATGCAAAGTCTGGTCTCAATTCCAAAACTCAATTATTTCTTCACAAAAAACTGTCCAAACAATTTAAGAACTTACCTAAACTTAATATTAGCATTACAGCTAAAAGGATATAATATTTAATTTCTTCCAGACAATCCTTTCCTCCACTAAAACTGTTCACTTATTTAAAAAATTATTTATTTTAGTAGCTATATGATATAATAGAATTCCCTAGTTGCTTCTTTTACAGAATCACGTTCAGCAAGACAGACAGAAGTTCTTTACTGTAAAGAAAACTATTGAAATACTGGATTTCTGCATGTTATGAATGATAGCAAAACTTCACCATTGGCTAATTCTTAACTCAGAAACCTCTACAGTCAGATCTAGCTTGACTTAATTCTTCAGGTTTTGCTAGCATTGACCCTTAACTGATTTTTTAATGAAGACATAGGTGTGTGAGTGGTGTGAAATGTAATAAAGACATGGAGACTTCCGAAATGCAAATGGCACTTACTGTGTTGCTGTGCATTTATTTCTTAGTTTTTCTGTACCACTGAGCAAAACATGTAAATACATGTATAGGTATTCTTCAGGGCTGAACAGTTCATGAAAAGGAGAGGAAGGGAGTGATAGAAATACTACTTACGCCGTTTGCAGCCACATTTTTTTATCCTTTTGGGATCCGTGATGTCATCATGACAGGCCTTGCAGTAAAAATATGCCCTGGAGAGCGAGAATGGGAAAACCGACACATTTCTTAATCCATATAAATGAAATTAGTCCCACATTTCCTCTTGTTGCAGTGAAAAATTAATGAAATATGCCAACACTAATTTCCTTTAATCTTTGAAAAGGTTTAGACATTTAAAGTAGGAAATGTTTGCTGCAAAACCATTAATTTTAAACATAAGACTCCAAATTAGTGTTTCTTTTAATATACTTTTATTTCAAAAGTAATTGGAAGAAGGGATATTACTTATGACACAGTGTATCAGTTCAGTTCTCTTTCATCTTAGAAAAAAGAGCATCCAATGACCTTTGTCACAAAAAGAAATATATATAATTAATTTTCTGTTCTTATGAGCTATACCAGGGTGGGGTTTTTTAAAGACTATCCAGCACCCTAGGCCAGTTCTTCAAGCTGGTCACAAGTAGGACTTCATTTTAGCTACACTGAAACTGCAATGAGATCACTGTGACATTAAATATCAGACATGTTATTTGCAAAAAAAATAAAAAACAAACAAACAAACAAACAAACCCAAAACCAAATCAGAAAGGGAAAATCTACTCAAAATAAGTTCCTAAAGGAACAACTAAATAACATCTAAATCTTGATTCAGACTATTATGAGATGAATCCCATGACTGGTGAGTGACTATTGGTGGGTACAGGTTGTTCAGAAGAGACA